GGAGTCTTGCATTGTAGCTTACAAAAAAATGTATAAGGCACACACTAATATACATACCTAGATATTACCCATCATATACTTTAGTATTCACTATGGGAGCCTGTCATGAAAGCTGTTTGCTTTAGTTGATTCCATTTACTTTTACACAATTTCAGTCGATTTTAGTTTTGTATTTTTTGCGCTAAAGTAAAACTACGTACAAATACCAACCAATGCAGTTACAACAAATGAATATGCTTNGGCTCTATAACTTCCAATCCTGACGAGGTATGAAAATGGCGTAGCCATATTTGAGATCAGCGTGCAAAAATCCATTGATTGCTTCGAGGCTGAAATGCTTATTTTATTGAATTATAGGAACTTTTTCTAATTTTATGTAAAATATAATAAATTAGCGCATGTAACTTTAGGACTCTTGAGGTAGGCCGTTATCCGATGTAAAAAGTTTAACGCAGAAACGTTTTTATGACCAAACGAGCCTACCTAGGTGGAGTCTTGCATTGTAGCTTACAAAAAAATGTATAAGGCACACACTAATGTCCATACCTAGATATTACCCACCATATACTTTAGTATTCACTATGGGAGCCTGTCGTGAAAGCTGTTTGCTTTAGTTGATTCCATTTACTTTTACACAATTTCAGTCGATTTTAGTTTTGAATTTTTTGCGCTAAAGTAAAACTACGTAAAAATACCAACAATGCAGTTACAACAAATGAACAAATGTATGTCCTAACATGCATATGTACTTACAAACAGATAAAGAGCATTTGAAATTAGTACATGAATTCGTACGTTGCCTTTGCCGTTGTTGCCAAAAAAAAGCGAATGCTTGTAGTAAATATGTACGCACCTACAGTGACGAACAAAAGTATTGACACAGTGAATTTATTATTTTAATTTATTTTCATTATTTTTTTTTTATAAAAATATGATTTATACTACACGAAACCCCATAAAAATAAAATCACTAAACTCTGTGCAAAACTCAGGAAAATTCAATAAATGTGCATACTAATTTGCAACTTTTTGTTCAGATTTTTTAGAAAAATTCCAAGTATGCAGTTTTATAGCTCTTTCAACTTTAGTATAAGAAAGTTCAAGTTTGAAGAGCATAAAAAATCGCATTTATCTGAATAAAAAGTTGCAAATTAGATGCAAATTTAATGAATTTTTCGGAGTTTTTCACAAAGGTTACGGATTTTATTTTTAAGTTTTTTGTGTCGAGTATGAACTATATTTTCATAAAAAATTCTCGAAAATAAATAATAATAAAAAACGTTGCATATATTGCGAAAAATTCACTGTGCTAATACTTTTGTTCANGCATACTAATTTGCAACTTTTTGTTCAGATTTTTTAGAAAAATTCCAAGTTGCAAATTAGATGCAAATTTAATGAATTTTTCGGAGTTTTTCACAAAGGTTAGGGATTTTATTTTTAAGTTTTTTGTGTCGAGTATGAACTATATTTTCATAAAAAATTCTCGAAAATAAATAATAATAAAAAACGTTGCATATATTGCGAAAAATTCACTGTGCTAATACTTTTGTTCATCACTGTATGCGCATATATATTGGCAATGTTTGAAGTGTACAACAGGGCGTATGTGGAACGCAGCCTTTCTCATGGAGCAAATCTTTTTTTTTTTTTTGTTGCTGATTTGCTCATTTGTCGTCATTGTACACATTGTATGAAAGTCTGTGCGACGAATATGTGAATCAATTTTAGAGTTACATAGGAATTGAATTGGACATCTCAGTTATTTTTGGTAGTTTTTCTTGCTTTTTGCAGAATCACTGCAAATAATGAAAATAGAAGTAGAAGTCNAGTTACATAGGAATTGAATTGGACATTTCAGTTATTTTTTTTTTTTTAGTTTTTTCTTGCTTTTTGCAGAATCACTGCAAATAATGAAAATAGAAGTAGAAAAGTAGAAGAGTGGCGTAGAAATAGAATTGTCACTAATTGGCCTACACTACAAATGTTACACACAAAATTCACAATGTCATTGGGTGTGGTGGCCGCGGCGTGCGATGTGTGAAGTGTGGGTGGGTGTGTGTGTGTGTGCGGTACGAATGAGATTTACATACATTTGTGCCACAATTAAATATGTTGTGATGACTTTTCTTTTTCTTTTTTAGTACGCTTTGTACGAATTTGCTTGAATAGCTGGCTAGCTATTTTGCGGTGTAAAATCTCTGTTAGCGTCAATTGTATGTAGCTCTTTTCACTTTGTGATGATTTTTTAGTAGCTATTATTTTGGTTTTTTTTTTATTATTCTTGGCACAATTTGTACCGAACTACTGTTTGGCAAATCGGAAGCGTAGTACAAAAAGCTGAAAAATTTCAATTTTAAAATAAATTGTGCGCTTAAAGGTGAACAGATTTGAAATTACTTGAAAACAAAAAAAAAAAAAAACAAAGCAATAATAAACGCCAATGCGGGACCATAATAACGTCTTATACATATTTAACGGTGCCTATTTGGCAATTTTCCGCATTCAGAATTGTGGCAGCCGATTTGGCTTGCGCTTTCCGCCTACAATCGGCTGTTGACCTTAATTTAATGAATTGCTTGCGATGTTTTTGTGCATTTGTTGTATAGTTTTTGTTTTTATTTTTAACTTATGTTTTGTGCTGCTGCGTTTCTAATCAAGAGCGTAAATGTGAAAAAAAAAATTTGACAATTTTCGCAGCTTGACAAAGGAGTGTTCGCTTGGTAAATTCTAAAGAAGAAAATAAGAAAGTGGGCTTCCTGTGAAACTGTTCTCAGAACGAAAAATTAAACTGACGGAAACTGGTTTGTCTCCAAACCAAATTGAAGAGGGACTGACGGAGTTTCGTTACAACATCTTCTCACCGTGTCGGAAGAATTAACCTGAACGAACTAACCTCTCATCCACTTTATATGTATATAGATACAATACATTGAATATTTACAAGGGTTTGAAATTCAGAAATCTATATATAATATATTATATAAAAATCTTTTGCGTGTGCTTTTGTTTTGAGCGATGCAAGGAAGACCGGAGCGGAGCTGCTGGTGTTCGCACTTGACGAAGCGGAGCAGAGCTTTTTGCTGACTTTCTATGACAAGCGGCTAAAATATTTGATCAATTTGTTTTAAATGCTTTCTCGTAAAATAGATTTTCGTTTAATTACTTTTTTTTTGTTCACATCGGAGTCATGAAGCAGAAAAATCATAAAGAAAATTTGAAAATTAAAAAGTGCTTTGCTTTAAGCTCCAAAACACTTCTGGAAAAGTTTGCTGTATGAACACTTACATATGTATAGCTACATTAATTTGAAATCTCGGAACGGCTCCGCTCCGCTCGGCCTCACTTCCTGTGTGAAGGTACCCTTAGGCGTTGATAACGAACTGAAGTATTTTACTTTATTGGAAATTTCGAGACTCTTCTTATTTTTCTCTAATTTCATTTTGGTTGTTCCTTGATGTCTAGCAAAAATTACCATAATTTAACTGTTAAACCTAGAATTACGGTTTTTTTCGATTAAAAATAATCGTCCATACCAGAAAATATCAAAATAACTACTAGATATTTCTGTGGCGCTTTTCAATATTTTTCTCGAATTTTTGCCAAAAGTTCAAAATTTTCCACTTTGTTACAATTTTTAAATTTTAACCTTTGTGAAAGAAAACACGAAAGCTGTTAAAAGTTTTAGGATTTTTCTTATGAAAAATAAGTGAATATATACCAAAAAAAATTGCATGTGCACCTTACGTGAATAAGAATGAAAATTTCAGGATGATTAAAAATTACGCTTACTGCAAAGTGAAATTCGTATCTTCAGTCACTTAAAAATTGATATTTTAGAAATTTTTTGTGTTACTTTAGGTACACCATCTTCTGCAGAAAATATGTTATGAATTTGTTTTCGAACACATTTTTTCTTTTGATACTCATATGCATTATGCCCGCCAAATTTTAGAAATCCAGAGGTTTTTTTCTTCTTTAACTTTGCGAGGAAAGTGATAATTTGATAAGGTTAAATTTGGATTAGATACGATAAGGGGAAGCAGGTCACCTAGTTGCCGCGACCTAGAACGATCTCTTGTAACAAACCTCTATCCGGCTACAGGTCTCCTTTGATCCAAGTATTGCTAGGAAGCCTCGCGAACGGTCCCTTGGCTGAGTGCAATTTACGTCATTTGCTTCTAAGGCCGGTCCTAGTCAGGGCTTCACAGTGACACATAATTGTCCCCTTAAAATACACGAACATTGGTAATTTTTGTTGAAACTTGGCAAGAGCCCAATTCTTCCTTAATTGTGAGTTTCTTCAAAATAATGTCTCCAAAAACATGGTGACAACAATAAAAATAACTTGCGATGGCGTATTCATTCAATCCAATTCGTATCTCACGCCCACCGAGTCCAGCAACAATGTTGCACATCGCTCAACATACGTAGCTAACGGCACGCAACATTCGCCGAAGTCAGCAACATCGTTGGCAACATCTACGACAACCGCAACATCGTTCGCCATTTGCAGCGACGATCCAAGCAACTCTGACGGCAGTGCCAACGAATTCGAGCATTCACTACGTCAACGTTTAAGGCATTTGAATTCTCCCAAAGTCGCGCTTATCTCGGCTACAATTAGCAGCTGCAGCAATATCAATAACAACGACAGCAACCACAACAGCAGAGATACCAACGGTAAAGCGCACGCTACATTTAACTCCTTCTCCTCCACCACATCACCTTCGTCCTCCTCGCACTCGTCATTTAACTCGCACGCCTCAAATGCGTCGCAGCGTCAGCGCCGTCGCCGCAGTAATTCCTCAAGCCCCGTGATTCACTTAAATTTGCTGCTGCTGCCTCAGCAAGTGCGCACGCATCTCATGGCAAACCGACAGCGGTGGATACGCGTCGGCGCTACTACTACAATGGTGCCGGCGGCGTAGGCGGCGTAGGCAGCAGCAACAACATTTATTGGTGCAAGCAAGCCATCATTGGTAGCAGCCGCAATGGCAAGGCCAGTGGCGGCGGATATGGGCATAGCAACGGTGCCGCACTAAAGCGTCGTGCCCACACGGTTGAACGTATGCCGTTGACACGCAGCGCCAGCAGCGTCACTACTCATAAAGAATTTAGGAACGCGAGCGCGCGACAACAGCAGGCTGCAACCGCAGGTGTTGCGAAAGTGGTGGCAGTAACGGCGCGGAAGCAACGAACAACAAGGCGCGGAGATTAGCAAAGACAGCGGCGATACATCGCTGAAGCTGGTGGCGGCGGTCTGCATCTAATGGTTATGGCACGCGCAGCTTGCAAGAAGATTTTTATTACTCTGATGACAAATCGGTGTGGAACAATAGAAAAAACCAAAGTCAAAGCGATGCGAATGTTAGTGGCGGCAGTGCAATAAAAGCCGTAATAAAAAGTATTAACAACAAAAACATCACAGCAATTGCAACAATAAAACTGCTGGAAGTAGTAGAGCCCCCTCACCGGCGGCGCCAGCGGGAAGCAACAGCAGATTCGCAAAACAATTCGAATGCATTAAATACAAATAATGCAAACCCGAATACGCGCGCGAGTGTAAAATGTGTGTCAAAAACCGCGTCGTCATCGCCGAGCGTATCTTCCGCTGATACGACGCGGCTATTTAATTTCCTACGTGCCGCGCGTAAATTTTATCGCAGTGCCGCGATTGGGAGTAGTCAAGACTCGAATTTGCGCATACACGCAGATGAAGTAGATGGTGTTGTTGCACAGCAGCGGCAGCAGCCCTCCTCCGAGCCGACAAAACGTCGTTCGTCGTTGGCAGCCATCAATGATCGATTGACGATTGCGGAATACGACAAGTCATCAGCGTCAGATGATTTAAGCCAAATAACGGTGACACTAAGTAATGATTGGATTGGTTAGTATTTTGCTAAATGAATTTTTAATTTATTTTTATTTGTACATAAGTTGTGAGATGATCATAAATATGTTTTAGTTAATATTTTACCAAAAGACGTTGCTATTCACTTAAATTTTACTAATTTTACAGAAGTCTGTGAAATTCCTTACGTCGTCACACTCAGCGTAATATAAAAATAAACTGTTGCGCTTTTTGGTTTTGCTGTGTTAAGATTTAAATTTGATAAAATTGAGGACTAAAACAGATCTAAGCAAATAATATGTTAGCAAGAAGGTGCAGGAATAACGGGCGCGGTAAGGTCCTGCTCTACCGAATCACTATTGATCTTCATCTGAAATAAGTGACTATTAGATCGGCAGTGAGACTTACCAGAGTCAGGGCTGCACAGTGGATCAAATTACCAATATGGCACGGATTAATTAATAACTTGAGGACAAAAAAGGCAATCTCAGTTCCGTTTTTTTTTTCGAAAATAGTTTATACATTAAAGCAAATTTTGAGTCTCTAAAGTCTGAGGTTAAAGTGTTGGTAACAAAAATAAGGCCGCAGTATATTCTGACAACCAGGCAGCTTTATTAGCAATAGCAACTTTGGTTATCATATCGTAAGCTGGTAGTCTCAGTCGATGATCGTATCCCTTGCCTGAATTGGCGAGAGCCTGCTTGAGCGGCCAATTTGAAGCTGTGAGAGAG